AGTTGTTTTAAGGAAAGTATTAAGACTTTATTAGCAAGGAAGTATAAAAACTTCTTGTAAACATCTTTTTTGTGTGTGGTTAAAGGATCAGCGGAAAGAGTAAAAAATTTTTAAGATCTTTTTTTTTGCAAAATCCAGAATTATACAGTATATAAAGAGAATACAAAATATCAATTACATGGAACCTTTATTTAAAAAACCAGACTATAGAAGGCTAAAATTAAGACATGCAACTATAGTCTTCATAGATAATACAATGGAAATAACAAGATCTAAAGAGAATATAAAAAAGATTCTAAAATTGCAAGAATTTTAAACAAAGTTAATGACTCTTATATAAATAACAACAAATTAGTTTTGATTAATATTAACAATCCTAATTACTATTCAAAAGAAGTGAAAGTAAGTATTCAAGAAGAAGTGATTAAAAAACTCAATAGAATATAATAGGCCAGATTCTTAGGAATTTGAATAGGCAACCAAAAAATTGCAATTGAGCTTAAAGAATAAGTGATTAAAGAAGTCAATATAGTAATAAGAGCTCTTAAATATAAAAAAGTGATAAACAAACAAGCCGTCTATATTTTAAATAGAGTATTAATATCTAGAATAGAATTTAAAATGCAACATAATATATTGTTCTAAAAAATACTGTATATAACATCTTGATAACAATATATAAAAAACTTTTCAAGAATAAGAGTAGTTTACATGGATTCATGCTCAATAGTATAATTCATTACTTAAAGATTTATAACTTGAAAAGTATTTGGATATTACAACTAATGATAAATTTCTAAAGTATTTAACATATAAAATTTTGCAGATTATTTATGTTTCTTTTTAAGAAATAAAATTCATAGTTCTTTACTTTAATAGAAACAAAAGTCAGAAAATATTATAAAGTAATAATTTAAATAATAAAGAACAATTGTGGATAGTTTTTTTATAGTTATTAATTTAAAAATTTTAATGTTTTTTAGTGGGTGACATTTGACTTTTATTTCTATTTTACTCTTTAGGAATCCATTTTTAGCTATAATAAGAAAGTTATGTAATAGAACTTTATAATAAACTAAATAATTCCAGATTAATAGAAATCACAACAATCATTAAATTCAACAAGCATAGATTAAAAATTGAGAACCATTCAATTTATTAAGCTACAAATCTTTAAGTTATCTAATAGACAAAGATAACTTCATACTTCAAGTAATCAAAATTATTAAAGATATATGAATAATATTTCATAGTTGAAAATATCAAAATATCTTTGAATAGAAAAAGGGAAATATTTGAATTAGAGAATATCTTGTACTAGAAGAATATAAAAAAGCTATATTATCACTTAAAAATAATTAACTAATATATTTAAATCAGTTGATCAATTGGGAAATCAAAAAATAAGTGATTGATAAATGCTTCAGCTCTTACAAAATATAAGCAAAGGATCTATACCAGAATAGATTCAAATTATGGCCAAGAACTTCTCAGAAGAATAATTAAAATAAATTATAAGATTCTGAAGAGAAAATTATATAAAATAAAAATCAGAATACTTTCAAATAGAATCTAATCAAGACAAGTGGAAAAAATTATGAATAGTGATAAGAAACAAAAGAAATCAAGTAACTTGAGAAAAGTTAAAACAAAAAAAAAAGTTACACATTATAATAGTAAAACATTTTACTAGTTGTAATATCAATAATAATCAGGAGACTAGTATACAAAAATGTCTTGGATATTTAAAAGATATAATACTAAATAGTAATTATATCATAGAAAGAGAAATGAAAAAAATATATATGATATCATATCTTAATATAAGAAAGTTTATTAGAAAAATATAAAAGTTAAAAATCTCTAACCTCAAGTTAGTACTTAAAAAAAGATTAAAAAAGTGATTTATAGTAACCAAAGCTTTTTTATAATTCAAAATAATAGAGTAAACAATGTGAATATCAAAACCTGGGAAGAATCTATTATTAAGAAAAATATTAGAGAAGGGGCATATTAAGATAATCTAATGGAAATACTTTAATAAAACCTTGAATCTAAAGAAAACCTAATTTTCTATTTTGATAGATTACTTATTAATTATAGAAATGAAGAAATGAAGATAAGAGAAACTTGAATTCAGATAGGAAAAAAAGAAAAGAAAAGCAAATTCCAAATAGAAGTAAACAATTGATTTTTATCTATAAAAGTAAATTGGTAGCAATCATAACAATACTTCTGATAGTTTTAATTGAAGTTTGTATAGATAGTTAGATATATATTTCCAAGTAGAAATCTTTAGAAAAAAAAAGATTTAAGAAGGACATATAAAAGATGACTTGAAGAAAAAAATTGGTTCCTTTGAGCATGTATGGTAAAGCTAATAAATAAAAAAAAAATAAATCTAAAACTCACAAAAGTTAAGGTAAACTTAAATAATTCTTACAATGAAGAAATAGATACTTTAACTAAGGAAGCCCGAAAATTTCTATTGATTGAATGGAACAATTTCATATCATATAAGATTATTATTGAAACTATGTGACAAAAAATAATTTTAGATAATTCAATTAGATAGTTCATTAAAAATATTAATAATAAGATAACAGCCTATTAGTAGATATAATAAAATAGAATAGAGAAAAAATAAAATTATCAGATTTTAAAATATCCGGCTTACATATGAGACTTAGTATAGGAAAGAATAAAAAATGAATATGCATAAGATATATTCTTTAAATAATCCTAACAAAGAAGCTTTCTCATTAAACTAATCAATAACAAGTTATCTATCCTAAGTAAGTTGACTATAAGAAGATCAAATCTATACAAGCAAGTAAAATATATTGTATGAAGCCAATAAAATGAAACCATAGAATACTTACTAGAATATTTAGCCTATAAGAACCAATTACAAAAAATATAGAATAAAGAAATAGATGAAATCATTAAAAATTTTAAAAAGCTATTATAGTAAAGAAAAGGAGAAATTAAGAAGAAAAATTCCAAACTAATCATTAATGACTGAAAAGAAATAAGAGAGTTTGACAAGTTAATCTCTAGAGTAGTAAAACAGATTTCTAAACCAACCAAAATATTCCAAGTTATTGCATTAGCCTTATAAAAAATGATTTTATTCTAAAAATGGCAGATCAAAATGTCAAGGTAAAGGTATAAAAAGAATAGCAAGAAAGTGAATAATAAAAATGCAAAAAAGAGTCTACAGTCAAGTTTAAAAAAAAGTCTAGAACAAAAGACATGAAAAGATAATTGAATGGAAACAAACATAAGGAATTAATAGAGAGAATAAGATAAAAAGATCTTTATGTCCTTTAGATAAAAAAACTATGCTCCTGAAGAGAAGAGAACTACTACTAGAAGAAGAAAACCTTGAAGACAAAAGCTTCTAAGAAATTCTAACAAGAAGAGTGAAGTATAAAATAAATTGATTAGGTTTTATTATTATGCTGCTTGAATGAATATATATTTACATATTCTTTTGATTAATAAATAAACTGCTTAATCTGACTAGGGGTAATGCAAAAAAAAAAAAAGATTATATAGTATATGTATTGTATATACAGTATATACTGCACGTATATACTGTATATTGATTCTTTAACTTTCTTAAAATTTAACAATAAAAAATAATAATAATAATAACAATTTCGAATTTTCATTTTGAGTCAAGTTATTTTCGGATTTTTTAAATATTGTATATTTTTTTACGAAAATATATGATACAAATAATCTTAACAAAGATTATCTACAAATATTTTGTAAGAGTATCATAAAATCGGTTGATTGTGTTTTATTAATAAAATTATAAGATAATTTTGAATCCCAGGATACATTTATCATGCAAATTTTAATTATTTTTATTTAATCGAAAAATTAATTTTCATTTTCAAAATCCTTTAGGCAATGATGAGAATGGGTTCTATTGGCTCTAGAAATTTTTATAACTCAAAAGAAAAAGGAATCTCAAAGTCCACGCAACTATAATAATTTAATCTATAATTATTAAATTCAAAAAAAATTTTTGGTTGTCATACCGAAATAACTAGTGAAAATAAATATTCTAAAACGTGACTATAATATAAATAAGTTCACTACAATTCATCATGTATCTTCTCACGAACATTGTCGGGACAAGTGGCGGGCGTCTTCATTCTTACGTGATATTCACATTTTTCTGGCTCCGAAACAGACAAAATTTTGTTTTCCGCTCCACACTCAAGAAACAGCTAAGAACAAGTGCAAACGTACAGGATAAGAATTTAAGTGGTCGCATAGTTATTTGCAAACTGACGGCGTCCTACCTTCACAGATCTCTCGGGACCATTCCAGCATCTAGCTCCATGATCATAAATTTGCTTTGTGTAATAATTTGGATCTTCCTTTGAGCTAGTATCGATCCATCCTCCGAAATTGCTAATTTGAAATAGAATATGTAATTTAAAAATTTGAATGAATAAGTGTCCAATGAAATGACAAGTATTATAAAATTCATACCCCAAGTGGGTTGAAGTGTGATCCTTGTTACTTTTTTGTGTTGCCGCGCCGAACATACAAACCGTGTATACATATCTGAAATTTTAAATATGTATGCATCGTCAATAATAAGTTAGCTGAGGGTCGGGGATTTTAAACCAAGGAAATTCGGAAGAAATCAATACGCACTCTCCAGAGTCGTATTCGAAACATTCGCCGTCCAATTTTGAAAATTCTTCTTGTAGTCCATAATCATTGGACAGCTTATTGTTAAGATCTTCAATTTTTTTTTCTAGAGTTTTTCTTTCTTCCTCAGCTTTATTTCGTGCTTCAGTAGCGGATTTAAGCTCTGGAATATGACGCAATTTGCATCAGTAGAAATGATAAAGAGTTGCCTTTTGATGATGTGTTTATTATTCATATTTCCAAAACTACCTTTGGAGGTTCCGGGTTCAACCCGTACAGACGAGCGATAGTGTGAACTTTGACTTATTGAATATTTCTTCAACCCCAAAAATTCTAGAACCTCATTGGCAGATATTCGCAACAACTCAATATATTGACCCCATAATGAAGGTTCTGTCGTAATTTGCGTAACAGATTAAATAATAATGCTGCTATGCTATTTTCACCAAATGAAATTTTTTCTAATACGAACCGGGGTCCAGAATTTGAGGCACCTCATATTCATCCATTCTGCTTGTATACTCTTCATCTTTGTCGTTTTCAAGTGCATCGTCCACGTCGTCATCCGATTCTCTATTATATTCCTCAAGAAATTCGTCGTAAGCAGTAATTGCCGATTTCACCGCCATATCATGATAATTTGGATTGTGACCATCCTTCATATCTTTGAGGATCTTCAATAATGTCTCCACGTCCTCATGAAGTGCATCGGCGTGGTCTTTTAGACGTTTAATCCTCTCTTGGTATTTCTTTATTCTTTCGGCATGTTCTTTGTTTTAGGATAAAATACAGGAAATCAGGAGCAAAGTCGAAGTCGAATAAGTCGATACCACGAGAGAGTGTTTTACAATCTACCTTTATTCTTTGGAGAGTCCGAAGAGGCCTCTGATTGTTTGATCTTTTTCAGGGCGGCTGCGATCGTACCGAAAACAATAATGACAATCAGCTCTCTACTCTTCGCATAGAGAAAACGCAAACCGAAATATGCATTAACCTTCTTTCTCTTCGACTTTAAGTTTAACGGCAGCGAGTTCTCCCTTTAAAATTTCCAAGCTATTTTTTCGTTCCTCCTTTAATTTTTTCCCATAATCAATGTATTCTAGTTTCTTCTTTGCACCCTGATTTAAACCCATCATATTAGTAAGGAGCGAGAACGTGACACTTTTTCTTTTTTTTTTTTTTTCCTTAATAAAAACATACTTGCTCTCTTAAAGCATTCAACTCTTTAACTTTCTTGCGATATTCTTTTCCAACCTCTTCGCACACATTTGGACATTCTATTTTACCATCATATTCATCCGATCCATCACAACACTCAGGATCTAAATAAATAGCGTTATATTAAGATAGTGTCTCGCGTAAATAAGAAATGAGAGTTTAAAAGTAACTGAGGAAATTACCACAGACACCATCATTCACCCGACTAGAAGATATGGATGCCGGTATATGTCCCTCGTTTCTACAATGAAAACGACCGTTCGGACACGCCGACGTACCTGACAAAAAATAGACAGACGACTCATATAAATTGATTGAGAGCAACAAATGTGAAACGAGACATATATTTTACATACCTGGCTCGTCAGATCCATCTGCGCAATCGCAATAATCATCGTTGATAGCTTCATAAGGTATGGTGACCGAACCATCTAAACATGTCCAATTTGGTCCTTTGCGTTCGTAAAGATGTAGTTCTTAAAAGAGAAGAGAATTTTACGGGTCAACCTTTTTGCAATTTACGAAAAATTTGTTTCGATAGCGCACCAGAATTTGCAACCCCCTTGAGGCTATCAACAATCTTGATATCTTTTCCACTAAACATAGCCGGATAACTTAACAGCGCAATCAGCGCCACTAGCATTTTACCAGCCAATTCTTGTTTCATTGCAATGATTGACGAAAATTTTGGGGGAGGGAGTGGATTACTATTTAATTATAGAGTTTTCGGTCTATTCGAGCTGTCGTACTTTTATAATTAAATACTCTACTTGAGAAAGAAATGGTGAACCCAGAATGTCAAGTTCGGTAATGTTACGTGGTAACTTATCATGCACCAAATTAGAAAGAAAATTTGCTAGAAAGAAGATTGCGGGAAAGAAAGGGTTTTCGAGATTCCATATGTCGATTTGTGGTAGGCGGGAAAATGCTTTTATATACTCACCGATCATCTTACCCGAATTAAGAATATCGACAGAAAAAATTTTTGTTGTTAATTCCATTACTACTCTTGTAAAGAAAAAGGAGTAAACTCATTATTTAACAAAAAAAAAATATATATATATATAAACTGTATCTCTGTTTTATATTGAAGGTAAATAAAGATAGATGAATTATGCATTTACAAGTAATTCAATCTATGCATATGATCGCTTAGCAACAAATTTATCATCACATAAATTCCAGAATCTTTGAAGTCATATAGTCATACTTAAAAAGCCCCCCCCCAAAAATCACGCGTCATTGCCATCTTAATCAGGAAGAACACACGCAAAAAAAAAACTTGAATTGCTGTCTTCTGTCATTTGAAAAAGTTTGATTCCTTTTTTAGTAAATGAATTCGTAAAAAAAATCCCTTGTATAAAAGAGCTCAACGACTTGGTCAACTGACCGAAAAGATTATTTCCGCTGTTTTTTTTTTTTCTATGAAAAATTGTAGAGGAATTTTATGCTTCAATCTTACTCCTAAAGTAAACATAAATTTTGTTGTAATTGTCTCACGCGTAAAACGTGTGAATGGTGGGATAATTAATTCTCTTGTTGACGAAGGGCATAGAACCGGTTTATCGAAAGGAATATTGGATTTGTACTACATCATCTATATTGACGCTTTTTCTTTCGTTATCCAGCACAAATGCTTTCATCAAAATTAAGACAGAATTCGCAACTTTTCAATAACTTATTAACCGGTCATTTAAGCTTTACGGTATGATAAATAAGGTTGCGGGTTTCATTAAGGATGGATGGCTTGGAAAACGTCTTTCTTTAACTTTATTTATGTTTTTTCATGATTGAATCTTTAAAAGCCGCTGTTGCGGATGAGGCACCGTAATTTTCGAAAATTTAACTCATCTAGAAGAAAATACACGGATCTAGAGTTTAGCCCTGAAGTTGCCGAGGCCTTAAAGACGAGAAAACCTGTTGTAGCTTTAGAATCTACGATCATTAGTCATGGTCTTTTTCTTTTTTGCCAGATCGAATAATACTCTGTTTGACGTTTTATAAGTGGGATTTTTAGCCTAAGTGATCACAATTTCTCTACTTCACTTCTAGGCATGCCCTATCCGCAAAATTTTGAAACTGCGCTTGCCGTCGAGAGCATTGTACGAGAACATGGGAGTACACCAGCTACGATAGCTATTTTGAATGGAAAAATTAATGTAGGTAAGTTAGTTGGATCTTCCCAGAAAGCTATAATCCCATCTTATCTCGAATGCCATTATGTAAAGAAAAATAATATTAATCAACAAAATAATAATAATAAAAAATAATAAAATAAATAAATAAAATGATAAATAGGACTGTCACCCAGTAACCTGGAGAAACTTGCAAAAATGGGTCCACAAGCAAGAAAGACTTCTCGAAGAGATCTCGCGCTTGTGTTGTCACAGGTCAGTGTGATTCGGTTTCAATTTTTGATTTTAAACAATCGAGTTATTAGAACACTTTCACGCATTCAGGGTATGACAGGTGCCACAACTGTTGCAGGCACTATGTTAATTGCTCATATGGCTGGGATTAAAGTATTTGTTACCGGTGGTGTCGGTGGTGTTCATCGCGATGGTGAAAAAAGTAAGCACCAGCTTCTTATAGAAATCGCGTTCCTTTTGTCACAAAAATGTGATTATCTCCTCTCTTTCCGTAAAATAGCGATGGATGTGAGTGCCGACTTAACAGAATTGGGTCGAACTCCAGTGGCTGTCGTTTGTGCTGGTGTGAAGTCAATTTTGGATATTGAGAAAACTTTAGAGTATTTAGTAAGTTACGTTTTTTTTTCATCCAACCAATTTCATCTTTCGGATTCCTGTTTCACACTTGCCAAGGAAACCCAAGGTGTTACGGTCACAACTTTTGGCGAAACCAATGATTTTCCGGGCTTTTTTACTTCAAAAAGTGGATTCAAGGTATTTTCCAATAATAGGCATCATCATTCTATCTTGTCATTGATATGTAATTGATGTATGAAGCCTTGTATATTTTTAGAGTCCGTCAAATCTGTCAACGGCACTAGATTGCGCTAAATTGATTCGCAAGTCTAAACGTCATTAGTTCCTTATCTTTACATGGATCTGTTCTAATCGATCATATTCTTCATAGATTCGAACACTATCCACGGTCTTAATAGCGGAATTTTAATTGCTGTCCCGATTCCAGAATGCGAGGCAGCCGAATCAGAGAGAACTCAGAAGGCGATAGAGCAATCATTAAAAGAGGCAACGTAAATAACATCCCTATGACATACATACATATACTTTTCAACTGAAATATCACACTATATGTAGAGACAAAGGAATAAGGGGGAAGGATGTCACTCCTTATTTACTTAAAAGGGTCAATGAAATTACTCGGGGTGGTTCGCTAAAATCAAGTAAGAAACCAAATCTATGGTTTTCACACCCATCATTAATTAATTCCATGATTTGATTTACATTAGACATCTCCTTAATAAAAAATAACGCCAAGATTGGAAGTCAAATAGCAGAGAAGCTTTCATATTTGGAGAGTGGTAAATCAGTTGAATCAATCCAAGTAAGTCTTCTATTTATTCCACTTAATTTTAATCAGACTGCGCCATACTTATAATTCTTGAAGTCCGGAAACTCCATAAAATTTAAATTTACCAAAGTTAAATCAAAGGTAAAAGTTACTGAACGTGATTTTATAATCTACAAATAAATTGTTTGATAACTTATTTAATTTTGTGTCATCCGATACATAGCAGGACGAGAAAGTAAAATCTTCTCCTGTGAATGTTGAGCTTTATTTTACATGAACCATTCATGATTTATTTATTAATCACCTCTTGAAATAGCCATTAATTATTGGTGGGGCAGTGGTAGATATTATGTCTACATTGTGTCCTCCGGAATCTTCATTAAAGTGCCCGTATGATGTTGAAGATTTTCATGGAACATCATTTCCAGGAGATGTAAAAAAAACTGTTGGAGGGGTCGGTAGAAACATTACTGAAACAGTTTTCAGGTTGGGTTTAAATCCAATGTTCTCATCAGTAGTTGGAAGTGACGAGTTTGGCCGTTGGATTATTTCGCAATTTGAAACGATGGGCATAGTAATATAACCTTTTCTCTTTTAATCTGCATTTCTTTTTAATTTTTAATTTTAAAAAATTTGATTCCTTTCTTTCTTTCCTTCTTCCTTTTGAAATTCTAGGATTCGAGCAACCTGGAAGTTGTTGAAAATCAATCTACAGCAGTGTATAGTGCCATACATAAACCTGATGGGAACCTTCTATCTGCAGTTGCTGATATGAAGATTTTTGACGGAATGTCATTTGATGAGGTACTATTGTCACCTTTAATTTTTTACTCAATTCCTATATGCTCAGTTCCATATAATTATGTTAAGGATAAGCTATTGAAAAATGGAATACCAAATTTGGTCTGTTTTGATGCAAACATTCCTGAAAGCTATATCAGTTCTATATTAAATTTTTGCTCGGCAAAGAAGATACCAGGTATTTGCATTGAACGAATAGTGGATATGCATTTTGTTCACTCTCTTTTATCTGTAAATATTTATATTTGTTTATTGTAAGCTTTTTTCGAACCAACCTCTGTGCCAAAATCTGGGAAGATATTCAAGGACAAAAAATTATTTTCTGATCTTTTGACCACACAAACACTCCGATACATTTCACCGAGTAGACTTGAACTTGAATCAATGTTTAATGTTGCCAAGTCAAATGGGCTATTTGATAATAATGATTGGGTCGATAAATTAATTGAGTTTAACATCGGATCGAAATACAGGCAGGGTATGTCCATTTCTTAAGCACCGGTCAGCATTATCGAAAAATTATTTCTGATTTCATTGTATTTAAATTGCAAAAAAAAAAAAAAAAAAAAAAAAAAAGACTTGGAAAGACTTTGCAGAAAACATGAAAAATTGCAAACACTTAGTAATCTTGGAGTGTTCGCCGCCGCTACCAAGCTCTTGCCATACATTCCAACGATTATAATTAAATTGGACAAAGATGGGGCATTGTTAGTTCAAAATATGGAAGACATCGATAGCGTGTTAAATGAGGGTGAGGCAAATAGCAAAGATCATCGAATTGAAATTGTTGTGACAAGAAAGGGCAAAGGTGGAATCAGGTAATAATGCTGGGCTATAAAGTTGCTCATTATTGAGCTTTCCTTCCTTCCTTCCCCCCTTTCTCTTTTCTTTTCTTCTTTCTTTACAATTCACTAACATCATAATAACAACGGATCATAAGATATAGATACTTTGAACCCTTTCCACTCACGTCAGAGTACGTCATTAACGATAATGGCGCAGGAGACAGGTTCGTTGACGCATCATTACACGTGTCTGGCGTATATTTTGAAGTACTTTTATTTTCTCCTACCTTGTAAATAACAATGGCAACGATCTTTTCTTGAAATAGTTTTGTTGGCACGTTGATTTCGGGCCTGACATTATACGGTGAAACAAAGATAGATGAAATTATAGAAATAGCACAGCGTGCTGCTTGTATGACTTTACAGTCACATGATGCTGTTAGCGAAAACATTAATGCGGGTTTATTGAAAATATAAGTTTGTAATTACCTTGAATTTCGGTAGTATGACTCCTCTAAGTTAATATCATATCGTGCCGTAACAATTACGATATAGTTATGAGCTGGTGGCAAAGGAATGCTGATTGTATTTCAAAAAATCTTTTTAGTTAGAGAATTTAAGTAACCGATGCTATAATAACTTTATTCGAAAATTTTGTGTCAAGAATATCAATAGGTTTGGCTAGATTCCAATTCGTATTGTTTCGGCAATGTGATATTTTAACAGAAATAGGTCTTGACCCTAGGTTATGTTAATTAACATAACACGTGCAAAATCCGATTCTAAATTCATTCGATTCTTTAATCATATCATTTTCAAATTAATGTATAACGATGCAACATTATGTTTAATATTGAAAGCTAATAAAAATATCATTTAAAATTTTTTTGGTAATCTTTTTTACTTTTTTTATTTGAATTTAAAATACTTGTATTTTTATCAATATATAATTAAATTTAATTAAAAAATATTTATTTTAAAACTCATACCTATCATATAAAAAAAATATTATTTGAATATGATCACTAGTCATCAAAATAATTAATATAAATAAATTAAACTTTATTGTCAGAATTTGTCTATTTCTGTGAGTTTGATTTTTTTAAAAAAATTAAAATACCTATATTTCTATTAATATGTAATTAAATTTAATAAAGAAAATATTTATGAAACTCTTTTCACTAATTTTTTGATTACATACAAAAAAGATATTTACAAGAAGGTTTCATACTTCTTAATTAATAAAGTCTTTAGACTTTTCTTAAAACAACTTGAAGCCTTTTTTCATGAGTCACTACTATTTTTATCTACTTGTTTATAAACTCTTTTAAACAAAAACTTGGGTCTCTAGGAATTTAAATAAACTTATGTATATACTTTTTCTACTAAAGATAAAAAGATTCTAAAAAATAAAAGAGTTAATAGGTGAAATATTACTTTTCAGAACTAAAAGTAGTAGAAAATAAAAAATTTATTAATAAAAAAAGATCTATTATTTACCTTTGTATATACTATTTTTAGTTCTCTTAGAGTATGTACTGTTTTTTATGATTTTTTTAAAGAATTTTATCTATCTCAGTTTAATTATAAATTTTTGATAGTATAATATTATTTGATATCTGATTAATTGATTTGAAACATACAGTATTAATAGCAAAATATAAATAAGCTTCTATTAATTATATTCATATATTTTGATGATATCATTAATAATTAAAAAAATTAAATGATGTTATATTTCTATTCTATTTTTTTAATTGGATTAACTTACAAATAAAGTTCTATAAAATCAATAAAATACAAGTAACAAATCTTTGGATAATAAAAAAGTTATATTTTATTCAAGTTGAAGTCTTTTTTTTTATTATCTCAATTAAGTAAAGTTTAAGACTAAAGTCTTTTTTTTATTTTGATTAGATAATAAAATCAAATAATCACTAATTAATACTAAACTTTTCTTTAATTATAGTTAAAAATATATTTTTCTAGAAATTGTAAAAAGATATTATAATTAATGAAAATTTTTATTTTTAGTCTATCATTATAAAACAAAAAAATTGTTTTAAAATCTAATTTTTTGAATAATAAAAGAATTTCATCAATAAAATTTCTTTAACTAGATATGGTTACTAAAAAATATCATCATAAAATAATATGCCTTAGTTTTTACTAAATCACATAAAAACTTAAGATTTATTATAAATTATTAGTTTAATACAAATAAATACAAAATTATTGCCTAAAGAAGGTTAGAACTAAGTATATTATTGAAAATAAAAATTTTAATTAAATAATAAATCTTTTTAAATAATATACAGTATAAGAAGAAATCTAGATAAAAAATAGATTAGTTCTTCAAATAATCAGAAAAATATATATTTTTTAATTAAATATTTCTTATTAAAAAGAAATTATATGAAACAAGTCTTTAGAAAAAACTAAAGATTTATTTTTATTTTTTTATAATAGATGTATATATTTTTAGATATTCTTTCTTCTTTATTTCAATTTATTTTCTTATAGATTTCTGTATTTCAATAATTTAATAAAATATTTAATAGTAACAATCTACTATTAATAATATAATAGATTAAAAAAGTATTTATCTAAAGATTATTGTGAAATGAAATATTATTTCTAAAATTGAACTTAAAAATTATTATTGTTTATAATAAATTTGTTGAACTTAATAAAATTTTTTAGCTATAATATATATTAGACTATTTAAGTTAAAATATACTTATGTTTTCAATTAATTAATAAATTATAATCTAACCTAACTACAGGTACTCCAAAAAAATTAATAAAAAAATATTTATTTTAAAATATATATGATTAACTATTATATAAAAAATTATTTAAATATTTACTAGTTATTATGAAAATACTATAAATATATTAGACTTTATTTTAGAATTTAACTATTTCTGTAAGTTAAATATTTCTATTAATTCTTTTTTTTCTTAAAAAATGTTTTTTGATAATTTTTTAAAAAAGAGCAAAATAAATTAAATTCAATTCAATAATAAATCTAAAAAAAAATAATTATCAATTCTTCTTAAGAACACATATATACTATTTAATAAACAAGTTAATAATAAAGAAATATATACTAATTACAATAATATTATATTTTATCTAAACTTTTGAAAAAGGTAAAAACATGAAAAAAAAATCTGAATTACAGTAAAATTAAAAAACTTGATATCAACTTTCATAACTCCTAATTAAGTCAGTAAAAATTGATATTTTTTTAAATATTAAAACAAATTTTATAATATAATAATTTTTTTAAAATAAAAAACTTTTTCCACTGATCCTCTGACCACATACAAAAAAGATGTTCACAAGAAGTTTTTATACTTCTTTACTAATAAAGTCTTAATACTTTCA